TCAATTTATTAATTCAGCAAATCCTTTCCCTCTTTATTTATCCTGATCGTTCATTGCATTACCTTAATCTATTATCATCTTATCTTGTAGAAAACCTTTAAACTTAAAGCTTAAGTCTTATTTTTACCAACTTCTGATAACCATAATATTCTTTCCTAATTCTTTAAACATTTTTGCTAGAGCCAAGCCATTTCATTTCAACATCCTTCTAACATTCATCAATTTTATAAAACAATCCAAGTAACAAAACAAACAAACAAACAAACAAACAAAACAAACAAACAAAAAAAGAAATAAAGACAATCCAATCTTCATCCAGCGTCCCTTCCTCCTGGTCCCGGGTTTTGTCAGTCCTTTTTATCCCATTGATCTGGTGCATTAACCTGGTAACCTTATATCCGAGGCCCTTAAGTCTCTTCCATGTCCCTTCCGCAGCTCTTCTTCATATTCTCCTTTCACTCGTGGGAACTCCAGCTCAGTAATGTTTTTGACCCTTTTCAACAAATCAGCCCCTTTTCTATAGTCCAAACTAAACTCTGTGTGGTATTTAAAAACGTGTTTCAAAATCCTTCCAAAATTGAGAGCCCCCACAGCTCCAAACCTCTCACGGCCCATTGCCAGACTCGGGAAGTCCAAACATCCCTGCACAGGGGGATCAATCCAACCCCCCATTTCCAAGCCAGTCCAAGCTTTATCTTCCCAAGTCTGTTTTTTTCCCAAGTTCATTTGTCAAGTCCAAAGGCTCATGTTCCTGCAGGTCCGCAGCTCCCTCCATCTCTGGCGCCCAGGATTCAGCAGCATCCTCTTCTCTCATCTGTTCTGTCAGGACACACTCCTGATTTAATTCCTGGGTGGGCTCCATATATTTTCCCACTGCCTGATCAAAATTTCCCACTGCCTGTTTAAAATTTCCCACTACCTGTTTAAAATTTCTGATTGAGTCAGTCATCAAATTCATCTTCTCATGTAATTGTTGCAGTAGGGCATTTGTTTTATAAAAAGCGTACAACAGAGCTTTTGAATACATTGTCCTACAAGGTCACAAGTCTATTCCCACGATTGTAATCTATGACAGCTGTAAGCTCCCTGGAATTAGTTACAGTTTCACAGTCTCCCTCTAGGGGGAAAACTTCTATTTGTTCTTTCTTTTGAAGACAAATCTAACAACAAAGTTTCTTTTTTTGAGATATTTTGTCGATATTTGTTCCTTTAAAATGCGGAAGGAAACAATGGAATCACTATGTTTCTCTTCTTTTGGCTATCTGTCAAAAAGTTTTTGTCTCTGGTCAATGAGCTTCAAACGTCAGTCCTGACACCCCGCTCCAGGATCAGGACGATGGAAAGTTACTTTACCTTAAACTCACTTCTGCAGGTTCTCCTGCTACCGAAGGGGGGTTCAACAATTTTAGATGATGAAAGCCAATCCTTTAGAGATGATTTTCTAAGCTCTAGTTTACGTTGTCTTTGCTTTATTCAGTCTACAAAGAAACGGAAGGCTGACTTCCTGTTTAGACCTTCCCGTCTCAGTACCAAATTGAAATAAATTTTAAGACCGATTCCTTTCTGCTCGCAAGTCCTTATTTAAAGTCCAATTGTTCCAAGTTCAAGTACTCACGGGTGATTATTTTAGAAGCCAAATTGTCCCAAGAAGAAGGCAGCGCTCTCCGGCAATGGCTATGCGGCTTCGCTCCACGGAAATAGCAGTTGACTCACAGCACCGCGCCACTTCCCCCTCTTCGCTTCGGGGCCCGTTAGTGGGTTCCTTTGCGGGTTGGGGGGGGCGCTAAAGGTGCCCGCCGAGTCCCATGGTCACAGGCTTCATCCGCCTGTGATTTTTAAAGGGTCCCCGCTTCGCCGTAGCGGGAAAGACCCGTTTCGCACGGAGCTAGTCCCTCCAGTTCAGAGGGAGTCCGCCATTGCCGATGGCGCCACCCCAGAAGTCCATTTCCCCTTTCTTTTCAGGGCAAAATGAAGATACTTGTACCAGAGATTCCCTGTGAATCTAAAACTGGAGATTAAAATAGGATTGAATCATGAATCTTTTATATGCTCTACTGCAGGCATGTCCAACAGGTCGATTGCTATCTATTGGTCGATCGTGGGGGAGCCTGTGGTCAATCGTGGGTCGACCCCCCCAAGAAACTTTGGTGGCTGCCCCCCAAAAAAGCTCGACAATTCTCGGCAATGGGTAGATCACTGCCAGTTTTTTTATACTGGGAGTAGATCACAGTCGCTTGGATGTTGGACGTGCCTGCTCTATTGCATGGCTGTTCCCATATCTCCTCTTCCTACTTTTAAACATCACCCTTAATCTGGAAGCAGAACTGCATGTCAAGAAAATTTTGCAGCAAGAGAATCCAAATTTGATTTCAATTTTTTTTTTAAGGTGTGTGTATTGGGAAAGGAGCAATGTAAGGAACAATGTCCGTTCTTTACAAATGAAGAGATGTTAATGATTTCCATTGCAGTCTAAGACATTTCTGCAGTGTAGGAATCAACCTATTCCTTAAGAAGTTCTGATGGCAGTTGAACTATCCCTTCAGTTCTCAAATATTAAATCTGCATTTGATCATCTGCACCTCAAAATCCTCACCCAATATTTTAGAAAATGTTCCCATTTGCACAGTTGAATATAAACTCCCTACTTTAGGCATGCACTCCATGTTCAAGGCTTTGTCCTGCCAAAAAACCCCTACACATTCATTTTAATAATATTCGTGCAAGAGCTTTCCATGAACCCCCCACTGGGGAAAAAAAGATGGCCCTTGGCAAGAGTTGATTGTGTCAAATTGTGTCCTGTATTAGCATTTAAGGTGAAGAGAAGATTCAAAATGCCTTTGCTAATTTAATCTTACTTCCTCATTTAAAAATACACTAAGTTTAAACAGTTTTCCTTAAAAAAAGATAACACACACAGCAAGAGCACATATGCCTGACATTTTGAGTTACTAATGTTGAGGTTCATTATATACCCTTCAGGGTTATCTCCCCCAGATTTTAATGAAGCAGCAACATTTGGGTTGGTGTCTACCACAATGTTAGTAGTGTATATCTATTTTGCAGACTCCATGAAAGTTCTGAAACTTGTTTTGCGGAAATGTGCTTTTAATAAAAGGAAATGGAAGTGTGTGTGTGTGTGTATGTGCATGTATATATCAGTTTTTGATGCAAAATATAAATTGGATTTGGGAAAGAAAAGAGACCCCTTTAAGCCCTCACTTCTCCCCTATTAAGATTTTTTACTTGTAACTTGGCCTCTTTTAAACTCCCATCTCGTGAATACTCGCTTCTAATCTGATACCTCAGTGTACATATCTAAACATGATCAGTGACAGTTTTAGCTGCGGGGTGAGACTTTCTGTGACAAGGGCAGTGAGCTCTGATTGGAGACCATTCATTGCAAGTGACTTCAGCTGTCTCTTCAACTGACACTTGGTGACTTGAGGAAGGAGGGATGACGAAAGCTTTTTGGACAGAAAACTTCCACTGACAAGAACGTGACAGCTCCTTCCACAGCTGGTTTCTGATATGCGTTGCAAGGGGCCCACACAGTTGCTAATTTAAGTCGGAGTGGTGCTGTGCAGTCGTGGTGCAAACAAGTTCTTGTAGATTTGTAGCTCATCTGCGAGGAATGGCAGAGGAAAGGAGGTCCCTTGATGGGGCTACTGCAGGTCCATCGCATTCTTGATAGGCCATGTTTATTTAAAGCAAGGTAAACTGAACCTCAAGCAATTCCTAGGTCTCATTAAGTCTTAGTATGTAGCTGACTATAGTGTATTTGGTTTATTCAAAGCAACTTTTTCCCCCTCCCAGAGCCTGACTAGTCCAGTAACAGTATCCTCGGCCTCCAGATATAACTGTCAGGAACCAGGCTGACAGGTGGATTTGACTCAGAAGCAGTCTGGAGGCTTGCCGGCAAGTTGGGGCAATATGACCCTCCTCCATTTAAGGGATAAAGTGGCTTCCAGAGATGAAGTGAGTCTGGGCCACTAAACTACACATTATAAGTAAACCCATTTCATGGCAAACTATGGTAGTCCAGAGAGAAAAGTCCTGACAGCATTTTACTGAGCAAGCTGAACAAAAACAGTGTAGAATTTGAGGAGAAAGGAAGAGAGCGGTTTTGTCTTTCTTAAGTCAGTTCTACGTAGCAGGAAGGCATTCAACCAAACGTGCACAGAGCACATGCTACCTCAGTAGACATCGCAACACACTCCCTTGCTGCAAAGCAACACTTGCCCCTTGGTAAGCTGACTTCCTGATAACAGAATTAACCCTTAATTTGCAAACCCAATGATCCAGAGTGACGATATCAAGTTATTTATGGAACCTATAAATATCCAGGTGGATATTATGACACCTACTGTCTGAGCTGGTGTTGCACAATGTCTAAGAGACTGAGCTACAAGTCAAAAGCCCCTTTGAAATTTCCCCCTCTTGAATATTAGACTGTTGCCAGCTCTTTGCCTTTTCAGCACCTACTGAACTTCCTCTTTCACCAAGCCTTTCAAGTGGAGATCTTTCCCAGTCTGCAAGTGTACTGGAATAGCTTTTAGATGTTTTCATCGCTTTATCATTTGTGTGCTTACCACCTGGGGCTCCTTTGGGGGGAGGGAAGGGTGAGATATAAATTTAACAAATAAATGAAGAAACAAATAATTATCCCTTCTCTTTATTTCTTTATCCACTTCATGTATCTGATGAAGGAGTCTTTGCTTAACAACAAATGAGTCAACTGAGGTGCTCTTGGTCCCTGTGTTTTTGTTTTGTTGGTTTTGCTGTAATGGACTAACGCAGCTTACTCTCTCAGAATCTGTGAGCAGGACAAACTCAGTTCCTGGGGTGCCAATGAATCCAAGGCAATTAATATAATGGTTGAAGAGGCTTGCTCATTCCCACAGTGTTTTTCTCAACTCCGCAATGGCATTCAGTTAGATAATTTGCCCACGAGGCAAATTGGAGTTCACCTCTCATCGTCATCTGTCTATGTGCTGTTTACTCTCTGCAAGAGAGACAGAGAGACTAGATCTGTCTTTCAACAATACTGCAAGGACAGAAACCAGAGCAGGAGATTTTATTAATGCTGTGGAAGAGCAACAAGCTACCCTTCTGTACATTACACAGGTGGGACAGACTTGGTGGGGTGAGAATTCGCTTGGAGAGGTAAGATTCAAACCTTCCCCAGAGAAATAACTTTGCTTCCTTTGTCTCTTTTGATTATAATCTGCCAACTCCAAATAAAATTAAGACTTTATGTGTGTGCAAAACTATGGTTAGCTTCATTTTCTGGGTCTTCCTCAATTGAAGATAAGGGGGAAAATATGAGGTCTGTCTTCCAATAAGATTTTTTTTTACATTTTTCTTCAAAAGTCAGAAGTAAAGCTCACATAGATGCTATTTAATGCTAAACTTAAAAAAAAAAAGTTATGAAATAGATCTATACAAATGCTTTTGAGATAACAATAGTGGAATGAACTTGAAGCTGTAATTTTTTTGGGATGTGCATGGAAAAGCCCTGTCCCTGGTGCTGTGTTCTGTTCCACTTCAGCATAGCTAGTGTCAAACTGCCGGTGAATATGTAGCAAACTTTTACAGCAGCCAAAGAAAACATCTGGTTTTAGGCAGGATCTGGCTTTCTTTCTTAAAGCAAGAGAGCTGCATAGATCAGTACCTTGCCTTGTCTAATTCCATTAATGTGATCTCTTGTCCATCCCGTGGCAGTTTAATGGGCGTTATTTGTGGTCCTCCATCAAATAAAGCCATAGCCATAAATCCCACGTCACGTAAATGAAGGTATAAACGTCAATCTGCATTACAGAATAATATTTATGATTTTAATTAAATGAAACTCACTGTGACGTTTATTGGATCACAAGTTACATGTTAATGGCAACAAAATGACTTGGGCTGATATGAGTATCTCTTAGAAATGCTCTTAATAATGAACGTGTTGTGGGTGGGTGGAGGGTCAGTTCAAAATAACACAAGAATATGGGGTGTGTTTGATGCAAGAAGAACATTGAATCTAACCTTGGTTGGTGGTTCATCTACCTAAAATGCATTGTAATGAATGGGGCCTGCATAACAGCATCTTGCTAGCCATGGAACCAACAACATTCAGTCAAGATGCTGAAGGCTTGTCTGTTTCCTTGGTTTCAGGAAGGGTCTGCAGTGGAACTTGGAGCTCTAAGACATGGCTGGGGAACCTTTTTTGGTCCCTTCCAGGCAACCCTCCAGGGGTGACAGTCAGAGGTAAAAGTGGGTAGAGCAACAAATGTAAATTTTACCTTTGGTGCAGTAAGTTAGTCTCTCTGTGCAGTCATATGCTCATCTCTACCCCCTATCTAGAAAAGCAAAATACATTATCAGCCTTCAAGGATGCATTACAGGGTGTGGCCTGCAGTGGGGAAATGATCTAGAGAGAGTCCTGAGGGCTAGATAGAGGGACCTGGAGGCTGCATATGTCCCTCAGGCCCAAGGTTCTTTACCCTGCATTCAAACAGCTATTGATTCAGCAGTGAAGCGCCTCATGTTGAGAACTTAAACACGAGCTGCAGGCTCCATCCCTTCCTGGCTCTCAGGCAGGCCTTGATCCAGGCAAGGTGCTTGTACACATTTACACCACCTCCCAAGTAGCTTCATGTGCAGCTATTATTTCTATTGTTATTCATTATATTTATTAGTTGCCTTCCTCACAAAAATGGCCTAAAGTGACTTAACGTCATACAAGGGGAAAATACTGGAAACCTGTTGCCGCCTTGTAAGCTAAGGAAGGTAAGCAGCACTCCTTTCCTGTGAATGTTTAATGCATTTCTGCACCCCACTTGCTTCCTGTAGGGTTTCATTTCATAACTGAAGTTGCTACCCAATGGTATATATTTGACACAGCTCTAATTTTAATTGACTTGTTTTTAATTTTCCATTCTTTGATATGGGGCAATGAATCCAGTCATTGCAGCTGATCTCATTTTATTTGCAACCCTGATATTGAAACTACCGGGCAGATTTTTAATGGCTGAAATCCTTGTCTTGGCAAAATGTACAGTGTTTTAATGAGTTTAGGAGGGGCAGTTTGGCAGAACGGCCATTACTTAGGTTTCAAAGAATAAGATTTTTATCAAAATCTTGAATTTCTCTAAGCTATTCCCTGAAGTTCAGAATACTTCCATGGAGTCAAGGAAAGTTCAAGAACGTGCCTCTCACTACTGTGGTTACAAAAGAAATATAACAGCATGTGGAAAAAAGATCCATGCATTCATTTAGGAACCAGCACACCTGAGTGGAATTGTCTAGGTTTTTGTTAACAAAGCACACTGACCTTGTTTCTGTTGCCTCTTGAATTGGTGGCAAACATTGCATGAGCATCTGCTGGGACCTAGTGTAGCACATAAAAGACGTCCAGACTTTTTTTGTTCCTGGAGAATTTCACTCTGTTACTTGTTCGATAAGGCTTAGGGGATACTCTCTACCAGTATTATTTGAAAACCTATGCAATACAGAGACGTCTTTTTTGCTTTCCAGCTCTGTTGAAGATGTCAAAGTACCTTTTTAAAAAATTGTGTATATATCAGAAATTTGGTAAATGTTAACATTTACTGGTTATTCACAAAATTAAGGCACAGCAGAACTTATCAGAAGTCTTTGTGCCATAAATAATGTGCTTTTTGACATTTATACCATGGGAAATGTTCTTTGCTAGGGAATGGAAATGGAAATGACTTTGGGATGATATTTACTGGAGCAATCAGCTGCCTCAGAAATTACTGGTATTTACCAGTAACTGTCAGAAAATTTTACCCTGGACCTATTCAGAAAAGGTTTTTTTAAAAAAACAAAAAGCAGGCTATCTCTCCCCACCTTTAAACTTCTTCTTGCATATGCAATATAAATAATACAGTCAAACATTAAGTGAGTTTGTAAGTAGTTTAGAATTGATTGCATCAGTTAGATGTTTTCTAATCTGTCTCTTAACAGATTGTCCCAGAGTGAGCTGTGAGTAGCTGATGGTAAGGGAACAACATTGTTCTTTCCAGTGTACTGAATAAACATGTGCCATAAAGTTTCAAAACTGTCTTTGGTCTTTGTCTACCTGAGTCTATTAAAAATTCTAAGACATACAAGTGTCAATATTGTACAGGTTTCTCACATTTTATGTAAATAGCACACACACATATGCACACACACACACACACACACACACACACACTGCCAAATCTCAAGCCAAGAAAGAATACAGCCCAAGCCGCTGCCAGCCTGAGCCAGGAAAAGAGGCGCACCCGAGCTCGAAAAACCCAGATGTTTCCTTTAAAATGTAAGAATCCTCCTGGATGGCCATGTTGGCCCCCCAAAAGAGGACATGTCCGGGTTTCCCCAAACATATGGCAACAAACCAGCCAACATACACACACACATTCATAGAGAGGTATTTGCTCTTCTTAAAATAAATTAAATAACGCTATACAATGTGTTGTCAAATTTGCTGCTAGAGATGTCCACACCCAGTCCCGGTAACATGATGAGGAATGACGGATGAGATCCAGACAGCAATAAACCAAATGAGGCAGGCCACCTGAGAGATGCTTTGCTTGTAACAGAAAGAATGGAAGAAGTATGTGCACTCAACATTTAGAAAAATGGTACCTAAGCCATTCTCCATCTATTGTTGTTTGTTTATAATGTACAAAAAAAGCCTCCAAGATCTTTAAGGCATTCAATTCCAGACTGGCTATTTTCTGAAAGAGATCATGTAGTTCCACAAAGAGAGTGGAATATACAATGAATTGTCCATTCCCTAGCCAGAATCTACACCTAGCAACCCTATTTGGATGGAAGTCACTCATGCAAATATGCAATAATTATTTTTGTCAGACTGGGCTGCTTAAGATCTCATTAAGAACTGAGCTCCATAGGCAAAGCCTGTGGGGATTTCAGAAAAGACTGCTTCTCACTTTTCCGTCTTCTGGTTGCCTTGGTCCATGGTTGGAAGCTTCCTGGATCAGTGCAAAGCAAAGGAATGCCTTTGGATGGGAAGTCTGTGTTTGAATTCAGCATGCCTGAATGGTCAGGGGTTCAGCATGGCTAGCATGTGTATTCAGCTTATTAAAAACCTACAGATCTCAACTGAGCCCAAAATTCAAGTGTGCAATGTGGAATTGCTGCAAGTGAGCGTTTAAATGGCCAAATCAGCCTCATTCAGATAAATGGGGTTTTGTGGTCTTGACCTTTTTATAGTGACAACCTGACACTAATTTTGAAGGATCATATATTTATGTCAGCTGTCGTTGGAGGGCATGCAGTGTGACTGGAAGTAGGTCTGCACGTTCCAAGACTATACTTTGAGTTTTAACATGCTGTTACAAATGTTAGAGGAGGCTCCCTCTCTTAAATATTATATATATATATATATATATATATATATATATATATATATATTCACCAGCTTGACAGTTTTTCAAACATATTCACTGTCAGCCCTAACAACCTGTCAACAACTGCCATTATGTGAAAATTGCAGAAGCTGGTTTGAGCACTGTGAAAAGTGACATCCATGCCACAAGGATAAAGTTCCTCAGAAATGGAAGGCGAAAACTTTTGAAAGGTGCTGTAGCCCTTCCAAGTCAAAATGAACAGTCAGATATCTGGGGAAAAACATACAGTTGTCACATCTGATATCTATTTCCCCCTTCCCCTCCCTCCAATCGAGGTGTATGGAAAAGAACACAGATTAGGACAGAATATTGGTAGTTTGCTTCAAACATTGTTCACGCAAATGGGTCTGGCAGCTGGGAAAGTACAGGGGTGTGTAACTGTTTTGCTGCTCCTGATTTGCAATCTTCTCTCTCTCTCTCTCTCTCTCTCTCTCTCCATCCCCCTTCCTTCTCAGCAGCCTTCTTGGGTGTTCCTTCAATTAAAGCCCAGGAGAAGACATTATGAGGTAACTCCTCCCACAAGGCTTTTTTTAGATCAGGAAGTGTAGGCAGCCAGGCAGGCCACAAAACACAGGTGACATGCTTAGACAAAATACACACCATCCTTAGCCACCCGGCAATGATAAAGTATGCTCAAAACTCTGTATCCAACACAACACTGGAGAAATTCTGAAGTGTCCTGCGAATGAGGCGGGAAAATGAGTGCCTCTTTCACAAAGGAAGAAAAGCATGGAGAGCTTTCGGAACAACACCAGATGTTACGGGAAGACAGAAAAATATGGATGGAATGGACTAGAGACTCCAGATCTAGTTTCCCCTCTGGATGTTCGTTCAAAGTCAGGGGTGGGGTACCTCAGGCTTGGAGGCTGAATGTGTCAGGAATTAATGTGCAGCCCAAAAGAACCCCTAATCCCCAAATCCCCAATACTCTACACCTGTACCAGTTGAACAGGAAGCAAAAGGTTGAATTTCCTCCATGACCTCTCAGGTCTGCTCTTGCACTGCATAGAAAACTCAGGTGGGCATAACTGGTTAATATAAACCTTTCCCTGTCCCCACACCCAGGTCTTGGTAATGCAAACCAGGTCAAGATAAAATCATGACCCAGGAAACTCTTATTTAAAACTGACCTGGCATTCAGAAGCTGCACCTACAGACTCAAGGGCTGGCAGGTAGAGTAACTTCTATGACCCTGGCAAAGGGAGGCTCCAAGACAGGGCACAGCGTGCAATTGAACAAAGACGTGATCCAGTTGGAAGACTGAATGCCAAGCTTGGACTCTCTTTGTGGGACAGTCATATGTAGTGCAACTAGAACACCAAAGAGCCCAAGTCTGCACAGATGTATGCTAGAAGCTTTGAAACACTCCAATTATCTAGCTAGTCCTCTCTCTCATTTTGCAGCATGAGTCTCCTAATCCCTCTGTGGAGTTCAGGTGACAGACAAGGCTTGTCTGCCTTAACTAGTCATGCATTGACACTGAGCGTACTTGATCTGGGGCTGGTAGTTTGCTTCAAACATTGTTCACGCAAATGGGTATGGCAGCTGGGAAAGTACAGGGGTGTGTGTAAAAATGCATGCCTAGCAATCCCGACTTCTCTCTCTCCAGAACAGATCTGCCGTGCTGTTCCTGCTGGCTGTTTGAAGAGTCTTCTTTGAAGCCCAAAGAGAAATTCATTTCCCAGGCTTTGCAATTCATTGAAAGATGAGGCTGATGACCACAGAAAGGGTCAATCAGATTAGCCTTTGATGACCCCCGTGTTTGTGTCTTTAATGGGCGTCTTGCAAAATGATATTTCCAGTTTTTAATGCTGTGCCTCGTATGTGAGATCATACAGGATATTAGTTTTGATTGTCTGGTGCCACAAGGATTGCAATTGATTCCCCCCCCAACCCCACATATCTCCTTTCTGTCTTGGCTTCCTCTGCCTTATTGCATACCTTCTAACAATATATTCATGCTAACCTCTAAGAATGTCTTACAGTACTGATCTCAATGCCACATTGGGCATATTTATTATTATTTTTTCTTCATTCAGTACGGAGGCTAATATCTTGTTGTCTTTTGTCTGAAACCACAGAGCATGAAGTCAGGAATTGTTCCGCCCTCTGACAGTTGTGATGCCTAGAGAGAGAGATGAAGAGAGAGAAATGATAGTCTCTCTCTCTCTCTCTCTCTCTCTCTCTCTCTCTCTCTCTCTCTCCCCCCCTCTTATTGTGCAGATCCATTTTATTAAAAGTTCCATTAGTATTATCGTCTCCACCTTGTAATTCCAAAATGCTCAGCATAGACAGGTATGCATTGTTATCCAGATCTACCCAAGGGAAGGACCATGGCTCAGTGGTAGAGCATGTGTTTGCATGCAGAAGGTCCCAGGTTCAATCCCTGGGAGAGACGTTGGTCGGATACCACGTGTCAAGGCTGGAGTCAGATGCAGGTCAGAATGAAGAGACAGTCAGTTGCCAGCGAAGTTAACTCTTTATTCAAGGAAAAGACATATACCTCAGCAACACTTCCCAGCAGGTCTTGCCCCTATAGAGCAGTTGTCATGACTGAAGGTCCCTGCCTTCCACAGCTCCTAAGGCTCCTCCTCTCCCAGATGTTTCCCAAACAGTCTCAAGTAGCATCTGCGCACCTCTGGTCTCTGTTCTGCCCTCCTCATTATCCTGGGGAGGGGAACTTGTTGCAGCTGGAGAGGCAGTCTCTTGACCTCCCTCCTCTGCTTCAGCATTGGAGTCTGAACTGCTCCCTGTCCCAGGTTCCTCCTGTTCACTAAACCCTGTTGTCCCATCAGTATCCAGCATCTTGTCCCAAGCTTCCCCCTCTGACCTCTCCTCAGTTGTCCCACCACCAATCCACAAACTCTGAGCCTTCCTCCTCTGGGATTTCCCTTGGGATTTCCCTGGCTGGCGCCTTGTCATCCAGCCAGGACCTGACACCATGGAGAGTGGCTGCCAGTCAGTGCAAACAGTATTCAGTTAGATCAGGAACTTTAACCCTTTCAGACCCAGGACCCACTTTGAACCCAAAGATAAATTTGGGGACCTATTTCTTAATCTTTTACCATACATTTGCATCCTGTTGCAGCCCATCTTGGGTGAGGCCTTGAACCACTAGTGGGTCCTGACCCACCAACTGAGGACCAGTGAACTAGATGGCCCAATGGTTTGATACTGAGCCAGCTTCCTATGTTTGGTGAAATGGTCTGAATGAGCAAATGGGACTGTTTAGTGTCAACCACAGGATCAAGATGGCTGACAATCACCTTCTAGTTTCCTTTGGAAATATGCCAAACTGACTGATCCAGTAGCCTGGATCAATTGCTATTTAGGTCAGAGAAAAATACACATGGGAAAAATTTAAGGGCACTTGGGCAGTTCAGCTTTATTAAATTCCTTAGCACCTTTGTGAAAAGTTTCTGGTCCTGCACTAGGCAAATTAGAAGAATGATGATCAGGACCGGTTCAAGGAAATTCCACAATGCAATAAAAATAATTGGTTTAAAATAATGATCTTTGGTTCATTACTAAAGTATCTTAATGATCACTTTAGGACTTCTTTTCTTCTGTCTGTTCCTCACCACCACCTTAATCAGTAATTAATTTTAAGTACAACAAAATTAAGCCAGATTCATATCCTATCTGCAGATAATTATCCAGGCCTAACCTCACCCCTAGGATGACATTTAGTTTTTAATAGTTTTTTCTTAGAAATAGTCATGGACTTCAATTAACTGGATGAGACAATATATAGGCAAGAATTGATTGATGACAGCAGGTTGGCTCCTGTGTAGCATGGATAACTCATTGTATATATAATAAAAACTGAGGTCTCTCAGTCCGCCCCTTTCTGCAGTGAGCAAATTGGATAGGCATTTGTGTAAGACAGAGCTAGTTTTTATTTTTTTATTATGTTTCACACAGGGTAGGAGAAGGTGAAGAGCTCATCGAGCTATGTGGGGAAAGGGATACAACCCAGTGGTATAAAGCAAGCTTTGCATGCAGAAGATCCTAGGTTCAATCCCTAGCATCTCCAGGTAGGACTGGGAGAGACTCCTGCCTGAAACCCTGGAGAGCCACTGCCAGTCTGTGTAGACAGTACTGAGTTAGATGGACCAATGGTCAGACTCAATATAAACAATGAGAGTCCCTAGAAACTAAAGCATAAATAATTACAAGACCTGGAACAGGAAAAGGCTATATAGAATAAACTACATCTGTGAAGATACAGGAACACAAAAAACCAACGTATGGATATATAAGGGACGTGGGTGGCGCTGTGGGTTAAACCACAGAGCCTAGGACTTGCAGATCAGAAGGTCGGTGGTTCGAATCCCCGCGACGGGGTGAGCTCCTGTTGCTCAGTCCCTGCTCCTGCCAACCTAGCAGTTCGAAAGCATGTCAAAGTGCAAGTAGATAAATAGGTACCGCTCCGGTGGGAAGGTAAACGGCGTTTCCGTGCGCTGCTCTGGTTCGCCAGAAGCGGCTTAGTCGTGCTGGCCACATGACCCGGAAGCTGTACGCCGGCTCCCTCAGCCAATAAAGTGAGATGAGCGCCGCAACCCCAGAGTCAGTCACGACTGGACCTAATGGTCAGGGGTCCCTTTACCCTTTAGCTTTATGAATATATAAATATAATTTAATAATTTAATAAATAACAATACTGTTGGGGGGTTATTGCCTTTGTTATGTATTTTTGTGTTTTTATATTTTAAACCACACTCAGATGAAGGGCAGTGTATAAATTTGACTATTATTAATAATATAGATGATGCTAAACCCTGAAGATGACACACCGGTAGGCAAAAATGAACTGTAATCGCTCAGTCTTTTAAAATTCAGTCTGTTTTCTCAATTGTCTTTTGAGAGAGTGGTAACATTCTTCAACTCATGAAGAGACATCCTGGCTCTTCTGGTGCTTTTCTGGCCAATAAAGTGTTTTTTTCCCTTTGCAGTTGCATTTGCCATGATAAATTCTTTAGCCAAGATGAGCCATCAAGCATTTCACTCAAATATGTTAAGGTACATACACTTCTCACAAGGAAAAACAGGATGACCCTAACTCTAACCCTGTTTTTTTCCCCCCAGGGTGAAGCGTGTGTACAATATTTGAGTGAAATATTTGATGGTTCATCTTGACTAAAGATTTTTGATTGTAGACTCAAACCTTAATTTGTTCATTGATTTTTCTTCTTTCCCCATCACAGTCCAAGTGTAGCACCCTGCTTGTGGTTAACGCTTAGCTGGAATGAAATATTCAACGCAGCAACAGAGAAATTAAATAATAATTTATTTGTCAGACAAATAAATGAGAGGCACAGTGGTAAATGATTACCAAGCTCTGGCCTGCCTCCTGCCATTATGGCCAGCACTTATATTCCCTTAATCCAGCCCCCTTTGCTCCTCCTTGGGCTGCCTCTGTCCCATCAGCCTGGTTGAAATTCCTATTGGCTGATTAGTATAACCAATCACAAAAATACACTCATATCCTCCTGTCCTTATAAGGGAGACAAAGAGCTATATATAAATGACAAATAAGTAATAATATATCTTACATGGAATCTTAATTACCAGCTCACCTCTTGCCCTCCTTGCCCTACTGCCTTCTAAAACAAATGGTTAATCTTAAATTTTTATCTTAAACGTATGTCAAGGATCTTGAGTTTCACATTAATATTGAAAGATCTCCTTCATTTGAAGGTTTCTAAACAAATATCTGACAACTTATATATCAGAATTGCTCGGATGGCGTCTTCTTGTCTGGCAGGGGGCTGGACTCAATGGCCCCTGTGGTCTATTCCAACTCTAGGACTCTATGATTCTATGAAATAAGAATCTAACATCTAAATTTGTTACTTTCTAAATCCTTTGCATAGTTACATTTAAGCCAGCATATTTAATACACAACACAGGTAGCTTCTTTAAAAGAATAACTCAGTAAAAAGGAACACAGTAAAAAACCGTTTTAAAAGAAGCCTCTTCCCTGTTCATACTTCCCCCCCTTCTCCAGCCAGTTGCTTTCTCTTCCAAGTGCTCTTGACCTTTTGTCCTGTGACTCAAGTTTAAGGCACATGGTTTTATTTTACTGTTTACCTACCACTTTTACAACTTAGTTGTACTCTACAGCATGCAAGGTCAGTGACCTGCTTCTCAGCCTTTCTATGACCGCAATAAACCAGGGGGCCCCTTGTCTTAGGAGAATGACCAAGGTTTTCTCTGCCTGGCATGAAACTTTTGAAAATCTAAGCCCATTTAATTTAGGAACCTGATCAAATATAAGCCAATATAAGTCTTGATTAAAAATGCAGTCTATATTCAGATGCCACATTCCCCCCTTTCAAGCTCAAGGACCTGGCTACCAAGCGTCCTTGATAGCTTGATCTTACAATGCCACATTCCTGAGGTAAGGCTCTATATAGTGCCATGATATGAGGTAAAGTTTCATTTGAAATCATCTTGCTAATTGTATTCCTAAAACATGAGATGATACATGGCACCATACATAAAACCATTATCTGAAATGTTAAAGCAACAGGCATTCCCTGTCAAGTTCAAGACTCCACACAGGCCTCCCTGCCTGGCAAGTCATCCAACTGTCGTGCAATAAGTCTCAAACTCTGGGCCGTTGCATTGGTTACAAGTTCCACTACTGCTTGTAATCGAATTATTCTGTTTAGATTATAAATAGGATCCCATGCCCCTTGTATGAGCTCACCAGGATTCCAGGAGGCAGGATCATAATAGGCTATTATGCGCTCTGGCGGCCAATCATCAGTACCGCTCCAACTTTGGGTACTTCCTCCTGCTATACGAGAAATATCAGCATTTCTTCGTGTTCGCTTGGCTGAACTAGTGGGCAAATCCACATTGGTGGTAATACCCATCCCAGGAAACAAGTCCCACTCCATTTGGAGGGGAGTTTCTTGTATGCCCATTCTCCACATATCCACCACAACCATCGGGTCTGAGGTTTTTGGTATGTGGAGTGCATAAGGCAAAATATCAAAAGGGGTATAGAGTTCACAGTGCAGTATGTTAGATTGCCTTTTTCTGTCACAGTTATGTTCCATACCACTTTCCATGCATGAATAAAAGGAGGTGCACAGGGCAAGGCATTCCGA